GGGCTGGCTGGCATGTGGTGCTGGGGGATTGAACCGCGATCCCTGATGCTTTTGCTAAGCTTGTTCTAAGTAGGTGCTTTAGACCACTGAGCCATCTCTCCAGCCCCACCATGCAGTTTTTTTTATTACAATAACTTTGTAATATGACTTCAAGTCAGAGATTGTGATGGCCTCTGCCTTGCCTTTTGTTGCCCAGGATTGTTTTTGCTCTTCTATTCTAGGTCACTTCTGGTTTTCCAAATGAATTTTAGGAATGTTTTCTCTAGTTCTGTGAAGTATGCTAATGTTATTTTGATTGGGATTGCATTAAGTATGCATAGCAATTTTGGGAGTCTGGCCATTTGCGCTTCTTGCCTGTTTCTACCCAAGAACAAGGATATCTTTCCATTTCCTGTTATCCTCTTTGACCTCATTTTTTCAGAGGACTATATTTTTCAATGTAGATATCTTTTGTTTTTGGTGTTAAATTGATTGCTTGGCATTTCACTTTTTTCTGTGCTATTTTGGAGGGTGCTCTTTCTTTAATTTCAGTGTATTTGTGTATAGGAATGCTACTGAATGGTATCCACAATTAAATAATAGTGCTGACACAGCATTATCTTTTTTTTATAAGCAGAATATACTTACTGAGAGAAAGAAAGCTCCTGTCCAAGAGAGGGACAGGAGGGGGGCCTGAGTGGGTTGTTCCCCCAACATTATCATTTAATTATGGATAATTTTTAATTCCTTTACTTTCATCAGTGACCTATTAATTTTTCAGGAGAGTGTTATTTAATTTCTAGAGGTTTATGTAGTTTTATTTTTTTTTACTATTTCCAATTTTTTGCATTATAGTCAGATAATATGCAGGTGATAACTTCAGTTCCTTTGCATTTACTTAGGTATATTTTGTGGGCTAGTATGTTTTATGTTTTCTATTTCAGAGAACATCTGATGTACAGCTGAGAAGAACATGCATTTTATGTTGTGGAGTAGAACACTGTAGACATATAGTAATAAGTCCATTTGTTCACAGGTTTGGCTTAGTTCTGATATTTCTTTATTTTTTTTATTTAGTTGATGTGTCCATTTGTGACAGCGGGATATTAGTGCCCCCATTATAGTTGTGTTAGTGCTTATTTGATTTTTT